TCATAACATGGATTTAAGCTTATTTATAAAAAAAATAATTAATATTTTTATTTGAAATATCACTTTAACTAAGCTGTAATTCGCTTTAGTTAAACTATATGCTTAAGCTAATTATAACGAGTATTTTAGATTAATCTCTGTCTTAGATTAGCTTAAGCCACAACCGATAAGCTTAAGCGAATGTGTGTTAGATTCGTATATATTTTTAATTCGCTTAAGCATATAGATTGTGGCTTGAGCTAATTTTGATAATAAAAAAACTACTTCAATTTATCTCAGTCTTTGATTAGCTTAAGCGTTCATGTGTTAGCTTAAGCAAATTTGACGAACAAATTAAATTCATTTCTGTCTTAGATTAGCTTAAGCCATAACCTATGAGTTAAAGTGAATGTATATTAGATTCATTTATGTCTTTAATTCGCTTAAGCTCATGTGTTTTGGCTTAAGCTAATTTTGATGAAAATTTTAAATTCATCTCAGTCTTTGATTAGCTTAAGCGTATGTGTGTTAGCTTAAGCGAATTTGACGAATAAATTATATTCATTTCTATGTAAACTTAGCTTAAGCGGATAATTTTGGCTTAAGCTAAATTTACAGTGAAGTAAATCCGTGCATTGTTTCTAGTTTAACAAAATCTCTTTAATCATTTTCCTTATTTTGATCAAATAAAAATGATGATTTTTAAGATAATCACTACGCCAAAATGGAGATCTGAGAGTAGTTCTGTTTTGAATTAGAAAGCGTTTAGAACTGCTCTAAAATCTTGCGTTATCTGATGTATTATATTTAAGAGAGCGGTTAAACAAGCGTTATCTGATGTTAAGATTAGAGAGCGGTTTCAGGGGAAACCACTCTCCAAAGTATAGGTGTAAGATTAGATAGCGTTTCTGCGTGGAACCGCTCTCTAAAGTATAAATGTAGACCGCGAATCTGAAATTTGAAATTGATTTCTTTGTGAGTTTTCTTCATTTTTATCACAAATCAAAATTGAATCTTGAGTTTATATATTTGGTGTTAACCAAACAGTCCACATCTACATGAATCAAACACAAGTAAGCAAGGAAAAAAGAAAGAACAAATTAATAGGATAATTTTTAATATTAATAGAGAGAAAAAGAAAGAAAGAGAATGGATGATTCACCGTTAACAAAGAGAAGAAGAAAGAAGTACCTACAGATGTGAAAAAATTAGCGTAAAGAAGATGAAGAGAGCAGACTAACACAGAATGAAGAGGTACCTATAGATGAAAAAAAAAAATTTGTTAGCGAGAAAAAACGAAGAGAGCAGACTAATAGAGATGATGATGAAAACATAAGAGAGCAAAGAAGAAACTTACAGTAAAAGAGACCAGCTTTTTTAGCTAAGAAGAAGAAATGTGTTGAGCGTGTTCATTTACAAATGACTTTAATAATATTAGAGAGAGGTTAATAGAGAACCGCTCTCTAAATATATAATTACAAAGCGGTTTTTATTAACCGCTGTCTAAGTTAGCACTCTAAAAGTTCATTTCTGTAGTAGTGAATTGGGATGAGTATACAATGTTTTCAAATAGGAAAATCTTACAATTGAGAGTATAAAAATCGAAAAGGAGAATGGCTATGTGGGTTAGGGTTCATGGTAGATATGACAAACGAGTTTGCATACTATTAAAGAGGAAAAATAATAAAAAAATAGAAGAAAAAAAAATTGAACAAAGTTTCTATGATAATATTCCAAAAGAAGATTACCTGACTTTTTATTCAAAAATAAAGATGAGAGTGAGTTTGAGAAAACATAATATGATTTCCTGTAAATAACACTACGCCAGAAATTGGCTTTTGAAGCACCTACTTAGATAGCGGTTAGTAATAACTGCTTTGTATAAAACACTAAGAGAGCGGTGTATTGCTGAACGATATTTAGTAGAAGAAGCAATGGAATTTTGCAATGAATACCTGTCAAATGTTGAATCATGTGGCATTCCAAAATCACGTCACACAGGAAGGACTTTAGAAGAAGGTAGCAGTGGTTGTCAACAAATAGAGGTTCCTAGACTGCAATGGGAACAAGCACACTTGTATGTATTACAAAACACTCCTGAAATTGAACCATATATAAGCTTGCACAGAGAGACATTGAAGCGTAGAAATCCTTCCAGAGGTGAGAAATGGATAACAAAAGAACATAACCAGCGATTCATTGGATGGCTACAAGAATATGTTGGTGAACAGTTGAAACAGAATAACAATTCGGTATCAAAAATGATTCGATGGTTGTCAAAAGGTCCTTGTATTGATGCCTTTTCATATAGTTCATACTTAGTCAATGGTTTCACATTTTACACAAAACAGCATGACGATCAAAGCACAATGCAGAATAGTGGGGTAACTCTGGTAGCTGAATCATTGCATATCTCCAGTGCAAAGGATAAAAATCCAATATATGCAAATATGTCATACTTTGGAGTCATTGAACATATATGGGAGTTGGATTACACTAACTTTCGTGTAGCAATCTTTGGATGCAAGTGGGTAGACAACAACAGTGGTGCTCGAATTGACGATATGGACTTTATAAGGGTCGATTTTAAAAAGGTCGGTTACTAAGATGATTCGTTTATCCTTGCATCACAGGCTCAACATGTGTTCTACATCGTAGATCCTGTTGACAACTTATGATCAATTGTCCTAATATCTAATAAAATAAATGCTTTCACCGATGAAGAATTAACAGAAGAAGAAATTAATGTGGAGGATGATCCTTTAAGAAGTGTTGAACACATGTCAATTGCTGATACATTAATATATGACGAGGATATTTATGCAAAACATGATCATGAAGAGGGTATTTGGTTGAATCCTTCATTTCATTCAATAAAAGGTCATAGGAAACTTAGTAAGGCTAAAAAAAAAAAGAAAAAGGTGCATTTCATATTAATTTTGAATTGATTATAATGTTTTTATGAGTTTACTTTATCCCTGAATGTAATTATTTAATGTTAACATTTACCTTTTGTCTTACAGAGATGACTTCTTTAAATAACATGGACGGGAGTCCCCCTCATCACTCCGTTGAGGCAAATAAGAAAAAGGGTAGAGGGATTACTAAACTTAAGTCCATTAGCAAATCAAGAACGTTAGGACAAAAGTTACAGATAAATTGTCACCATTAATGAATTTTGCAATGATTTTCAATTATTAATTATGCTAATATTAGTAACAGTAAAATGTATTTATGATTTATATTTGCATATAGGTTGGCTGGAATGGAAAAGGTCAACCGATAGACCCTAACAAATCAAAATTTGCACATTTCATTGGCTTTGTTACTAGGAGTACAGTGCCAATCAGTTATTCTGATTGTACAAATGTCCCTACTAATGTTAAAGAACACATTTGGGAGCAAGTTAAGGTACACAATCATAATCGTTTTAGTTATTTTATATTGGTTTATCTGATATGTTTTTTGTTTCCAATGTAGGAAACTTTTGAAGTGGATGTTGTTCATAAATATTTTGTTCTTTCTTTAGCTGGACGGGACCTTCGTGCATTCCAGACACGTTTGAAGAAACATATCTATGACAAAGATGGAAATTGTGTCCTCCATCCTCTGGAGAAGTATCAAAGATTCATCACAGTCACTGATCATTGGATGAACTTTGTCAACCAAAGTTGCACAGAAACTTTCAAGGTACCATGTCACACATTATTATATCAAATTACTGTCACCATTGTAGAAAGGGTATTGATTTGATATGTTTATGAATGCCTTATTTCAGAAAGAAAGTGAGGCTAATGCACAAAGGGCAAAAGCAATGTCTTACAGATACAGGAGGTTAGCTAAGGGATATGCTCAGTTGGAGCAAGAGTTGGTATGTAAATTTGTGTCTTATGTAACAATGTGATGCTAATGTGTTATCTTATGTTAAACCTATTAACGAAGACATTTAATTATTAATTTTGTCTAGATTGCTACATCTACATCTAATTTGACCTCAGTACCTCAACATGTCCTTTGGAAAGCTGCTATGGTAAATAAACAAGGTAGCATTGATGACGAAGGAGTTAAAAAAATAGTCGATGAATTTGTAAGTACTTAATACTAATGTGTTAGTATTTTCAAATACGTTAAGTTTTGTTTTGAATTCTTTTTCCTAATGGTTTTTTGTTATGTTTATTGTAGGAAACCCTTTCATAGGTCACTCCAGACGTTGAGACTGAATCAACAGCCCGAAATGACATACTCTCTCAAGCACTTGGTATAAGTGAGCATCCAGGTCACATGAGGACTGTAGGTTTTGGGGTGACCCAAAAATCTGCATTTGGGCCAGCTATGTCCACATCCTTCATCTACCGAGTGGCAAAACATGAAGCATTGGGTAGCGCATTTGACCAATGTAGTGACACAGTTGACAGGGGATTAGGGACTACCCTCATTCATGTCAGGTCAGATGTCATTCAACCCCACTCATTCCCCACCACCATGTATGCCACCCCCTTTCAAAATTACTCCTCAAATGCAACCGATGGCGGATATTGGTCCCCAAACGCCTGTAGATGCACCTTCTACCAGCCATAGAGGCAGTTGCACACCAATTGCATCTATTGAGATTCCAGAGGTATTTAAACTACAGTAAATCATCACTTACCTTTTAATGTTTACTGCTTTTGATTTTATTTTTGTATAATATAACAAACTTTCATTTGTAGGGTGTGTAACGCCTTATATTTCTTTTTTCAATATATAAAAAATTTTCATAAAAAGTTAAATAGTAGAGTAAATTTTTTTTTTCTTTCAAAAACTCTCTAAATAGAAACAGACATGGAAATGATATGAGGTTCATAGAGTAAAATTTCATTAATTCATAAGTACTTTAGAAAAACAAAGATTCTAGAATTTGCACCAACATGTTCACATATGCCATTTCTCATGCTCCCATCTTTCTTTTTCACCAAAAGAACAGGTGCTCTCCAAGGTGACACACTTGGCCTTATAAACCTTTTCTGCAATAATTCTTCTACCTATTTCTTTACCTCAGCCAACTCCATTGGTGACATCCTATATGATGCAACAGAAATAGGATTTGCTCCCGAAATGAGATCAATAGTAAACTCAATCTCTCTTTCCGGTGGCAATTTAGTTACATCATCAGGAAAAACTTCAAAAAAATCTCTAACCACTGGGATATACTCAGGCTTCATTTCCTTTTCAGTCTCAATTGAAAATAGAACCATGAAAGCCTTAGCACTCATTACATTTTCCAATGGATCTGGACCTAAGAGTTTAGCACTTTCTGATACTTTAGTGCCAAAAATCAAAACTTTCTCTTTACAATCCAATAGAACATGGTTGGATGACAACCAATCCATTCCCAAAATTACATCAAGTTGGGAAAGAGGTAAACAAATCAAATCTATACTAAAACTCCTACCATGTACCATCACAGGACAACCTAAACACACAGAAGAAGTTGCTACGGGTTTACCCGTAGTAGTAGATACAATAACATCACAAGACAATTCAGATACAGGTAATTCTAGACATCTCATACAATCCACAGAAATAAAGGAATGAGTAACACCAGAATTAAACAACACATTTATAAGTCGGTCTTTTATGATACATTTACCTCTAATAAGCTCCTCTGATTTTGAAGCCTCAGCTCCACTCATAGCAAAAACTTTGCCTTTCACATTTGGCTTTATTCCAGTGCTTGCTCTAGATTCAGGTCTTTGTTCCACACTAATGCTTCCGCTCTTTTGTGGAGCAGACCAACAGACACTAGCAGAGTGTCTCATTTTCCCACAAATGTCACATGTTAGTGGAAGTTGAGGACAATTCTTTTTAATATGAGGTCTACCACACTTGAAACATTTTAGTGGCTTTCTGAAAGAACCTGAACCACCACTACTATCTTGTTGAGATACAGTCCCCTTCACTTGAGACTGATTTGGACTAGAGTAAGGTCCTCTAGAAAATCTTGGAGGCCTTCGGTCTTGCCTCACAGGACCACCAATTCTGGTATCCACTGTCTTACCCTTAGTACTGACTTCAAATATTCTGCATTTACTCACTAGAGTGGGTAAATCTGTCAGCTAGAATACACTAACAGCAGCTCGAATATCTGGCCTAAGCTCATGTTCAAATTGAGCACATAGATCTTCCTCTCCATCATTATGTTGATAGTGAGGCCAGTATTTCATCAATTCATGAAATTTAGCAGCATATTCACCTATAGACATGTTTCCTTGTTTCAACTCAAGGAACTCCCTAGCCTTCTGTTTCTTTAAATCTCTAGGGAAATAATTTCCCAAGAAGGTTGCCTTGAATGTCTCCCAAGGAATATAACCATCTTTTTGCAGTAGAGTTTGACTAGCAAATCTCCACCAGTTCTCAGCTTCTCCACTCAGCATATAAGTAGCATAAGTTACTTTATGCTCCTCTCTACATCCCATGGCATGGAAAATCTTCTCCACGTCTGCTATCCACCTCTAAGCTCCCTCAGGATCAAACTTTCCCTCAAATTTTGGAGGGTTATGCCTAGTAAAAGAAGAAAGTCCTCTATACTCGGCTAGTTCAGCCTCCTGGTTATGTGCCAAAGTCTCTAAGACTTGGGTCATGCGCTCCAGGAGTTCATTTGTAGCACCAGCAGGTCTACCTCTACCAGCCATAGCTCTAATCATGCAATAAACTCAAATCACTTATTAATCTATCATAGATAGATCTAGTTCACGTAATTCACATCTAACAAGTCATATTAGCAAATAATCATTTCATATTCTAGTATATCTATTACACAACACAGACATGTTAGTCTCATACCCCAGTCTGGTCTGGATGAACTGCTCTGATACCAAAATTGTAACGCCTTATATTTCTTTTCTTAATATATAAAAAATTTTCATAAAAATTTAAATAGTAGAGTAAAAAAATTTTTCTTTCAAAAACTCTCTAAATAGAAACAGACATGGAAATGATATGAGGTTCATAGAGTAAAATTTCATTAATTCATAAGTACTTTAGAAAAACAAAGATTCTAGAATTTTCATCAGCAATAAAAAGAAATAGTAGTTTTACAACTGTTTCAAAAAAATGCTATAGAATTGAAAATATTCATTACATAACTCAAAATAACTAAGTCCTATAGCAGTTCTCATTCATCCATGCACTGTGAGCCTGGTACTATTCATCCTGGTTTCATGAAAAATATTGTGTAAGGATGAGTCTCTACCCTACCACTCATACATAACATATACATTCTTCACAAAACACATCTTATCACGATTAAAGAAAACATCATGGCATTACATATCACAGGGTCATATAAAGCATATTCTCATCTCAACGTGTATTACATTACACAGATTCACAATTTCTTTTACTTTTATCTGCGCTTACCGCGCCCTGTGGCCACAGTTATCTGATGCATCTATCTCGAGGTCTTACACATCCATGTAAATAGTCGCCGGATGACCCAATGCAATACAGATACAACGCATGCAATAGACGGCCCCTTAGCAAAGGTAATGGTCAGGAGTCAAGTCGGGAAACGAGTGTGTGGCCATGTGGTGCATTCGAACACAATATTCCGTGCACAATCCCGAATGTCACTCACCACCCTGCATTTCCCCAAGATATCTCATATCGTCTCCATCTTCCACTCCCCAGTGTATCTCTGTCATTATTTACATCATATCTTTTTCCATCTCATACTCTTTCGAGTATATTCACATGTTCACATATGTCATTTTTCATGTTCACAGATATTTTTCATCATATTTCCACATACTTTTCATCATATACATCAAACCATGGCATATTAACAATACACATCATTTTTACATGAAACACAATATATTCAAACATGAAACATCCATCTCTTTGTATATTTCATATCACAAAATCATATAATCATATCAACCATCCTCAATATACCTTATCATGCCTTATTTGGACATAATATCACATTTTCACCATGTATTCATCATAAAATCACATAAATAATCAATTATTCTCACTTTTCACCGATTATTTTTCATAAAACAAGGATTATTCCACATATAATCACATACATGACAAGATCTATGGGAATACGAGTAATAAGCATAACAAAATGATAAAGTAGAGCCCCCTTACCTCAAAACAGAGCTTTTACAAGGATTTGACCGAAGATTTAACTCTAGAACGGAGTTTTTTTCCTAAGAACATCATGAACATCTATAAGAAGAAGAAGAAGAAGAAGAAAAAGAGAAACAAACAGTAAATCTAACTTCAAACTTAGAGAAACTTACTTGAAATCCTTTAGAACGGACGTAGAATCACAGATCTGAAGAGAAATCTAAGTTTAGGAGGTTTAGTATGGGAGAAAATGGCGAGATATGACCTTAAAACCTTCGAGAACCTTGGGTGGGAATAAAAATTTCATGTGAAGCCCCCCTATTTATAGAAAAATTTTTGAAGATGTCAGCATCAATGTGATGTAAGCGATGATGTCAGCATGATGCAAGCGATGATGTCAGCAGTGATGTCAGCATGATGCAAGCGATGATGTCAGTGTCAACATGATGTAAGCGATGATGTCACCGATGACATCAGCGCTATGTCACTGTTGACATTAGGGGTTACTGTACATACACGGTTTCTTTCTGCTCACAAAGTACTATAGATTTTTCTCATTAATATACTACAGGCATGACACAAAGCATAGGATGTTACAGGGTGATCATGATTGTATGCTATACTTGAACAAACCTTTTCGCCTGGTTGCAAGAGATAGAGTATATCATACAGTGGCTGGAGACTCCTTACATAATATGGCTCTTCTTCCAGAGCATGGTAAGGTTTCTATAGAGGTAGTGCAACGACATGAGGAGGACTTTGCACTGCCTATCCCAAATGAACAAGCAAACCTGTATTCCCTGAGAGATGTCATTGGTACTTAAGTTGCTTGGCCATTGTCCCTAATCACTTTAAGACCCAAGGTATGTAAACGTGTTTCTTTATAGTTCCTATTGCTAGATATTATAATTAAAAGATTTGTTCGTTTTAGGTTGCCCCTTCATCAGGTAAAGGGTTAGGGAAAGAGACAGGGTACTCAAAAGAGTCTATTGTTGGTCCATCCAATAAAGGTAGCACTGATTGTGTGTCATCAGAGATTCTGAAGTTGGCAGAAGCCCAAGGTGCTGCATGCTTGGATATGATGAAGCTGTTTGTGAGAAGTGATCAAGTCATTGATACAGCTACAATTCAACTGACAAGTGAACACTGCGGTAAAGAGTTTTGTGACATTGTGGGGAAGGAAAACATCATAGAGGTCATATGTCGACATTGGTTAAGTGCCTCTAGCATTAACCTTTACATACAGTACATTAATTTTCAAATTATATAATTCATAGTCAATTTATAACTTGTATAACCTTTATTTAATAATGTACAATTCTACTTTTGCAAAACAAGATATTTGTGTGAAGCTTATTTGCATGGGACAATGGCAAATAGATTCTCATTTATATCTCTGTATGAAATGGACGAAGCGCTTAATCCGAACCCACATCAACATATAGCTGAAATGTTAAAGCGTCATATGGGTGAAGATCACTTGATATTTGCACCTTATAATGTTGGGTAAGTCAATCTTAGTGAGACTCTGCTTTATGTTTTATAATTTAGCATATAACTTTTAAACTTAGTAATCTTAAAATGATATTTATACTCATGGTAGGCAACATTGGGTCTTGGTTGCCATCAATACTGCTGACGAGACTATCTATTATATGGACCCTCTACGCAAGCAGCTAAAGATGAGAACACACATGCAGAACCTATTTAATAAGCATTCATTTATGTCAACTAACTATGATTAATGTTAAGTGGTTCAAATGTATTTAATTTCTTTGGTTCATGACTTTTAGTGCTCTTGTCACCTATCGCGCAGAGAGGGGAGTGCAGCCCTCTAGTACAAAGATGAGTCAAACAAAATGGGTTACTGTACAGGTAAGACTATATCATATCTCATGTTTTTAATTTTTACCTAAAGTGTAATTGCACTGTATATCATTCTTAGTTAATGCTGTTTTATTTGATTTTTATCTTCCACACAGTGTCCTAAGCAAACAAATAATGATGACTGTGGATATTATGCGTGTCTATTCATTGGGGATGCTTTGCACCATGGACAAACTGTAATCCCAATAAATGTAATAATCTTACACATTCCAATTCATTTGTCATATGCTTATTATTTCACTTAATTAATTAAGTTTTGTTTTCCCTGTCTTTGTATTTCAGTACTTTCCAGAGGTGCAGATGCCAACATTTCTTGACAACAAAATTTGTCAATTGTAAAATGAGTGGTGTTCATATCTGTACCATAGATATTTAAAGGACACATTAAGCACAATAGATTATTAATATTCTTTTACAATATTTAGACAATTTTCTGTAAAGGCTAGGCAAAATGTGTAAATATGAGACTCTGATTGATTGTAATCTGTACATGTGAGTTGTAATTGAATAATACAATGTGCAATTGCTCTGAAATTCTGGTATATCAGGCTCTGTTTGAATTTTATATTCTGTTTGAATTGGTTCTGAATACCGTATAATTTACTAGGTATGCTAAAAAAAAGATTTTATGCCTTTTATTAAAATATTTAAAAATGTTTCTTAACTTTGGAGAGCGGTTCACGAAAAATCGCTTTGCAAAGTCCACTTCTAAGAGCGGTTCATAAAATAACCACTCTGAGAAGTGAACTTTGGAGAGCGGTTATAAGTGAACCGCTCTCAGAGAGCGGTTCTCATTTAACTGCTCTCCAAAGTTAACTTGTGAGAGCGGTTCAATCTTAACCGCTCTCCAAAATATACATTTGAGAGCGGTTAAATAACTGCTCTCCAAAAATAAAGACATTGGATAACACGTGATTTTAAAGCGCCACTAACCGCTTTCTTAATTCAAGCGGAATCGCTCTTAGATCTCATTTTTAGCGTAGTGTAAGCAATTACATTTTTTCTTAACTTTAAAAGAATTATGTTAAAGAAAAACTTATTTTAAATATTTAAGAAATTTATATCTTTTGTCTTCAAAATTTGATAAAGATTAATTTTTAAATATTTAAATTTTTAAAATCTGCTATAATATATCATTTTACTAACTTATTTGTAAGTTACCTAATATGCTAACTCATGTTAGCCTTCACCTAAAAATATGACGTTGATTATTCATAATATTTAGACTATTATTAATAAGCTCATCAACAGTTCTAAGAATAAAATTTTTACTTTGAAGAAAAAAAAATGAACTCAAATAATTTAAATCATCATTAATTTTTTATGTTTTAGTTTTTTAAAAATTTATCCACTATAATGTTAGATGACATTTTTATGTTTCTTTTAAATTAAACTTATTTATTTTGTTTATGCTTTACTTGATCCTTTGTATTTTTTTTAACTTATTTTTGTATTTTTTTTATTACTAATTTTTTATAATTATTAAAATAATATAAAAAGTTCAATAATCTTTTGTAAAATATAAAAAATGTATTCTATATGTTAACTAAAACAAAAAAATATTAATATAATACTCAATATTTTATATAATCATATTTTATTATAAATAAATACTTTATTTAGTTTTAAAATTTTAAAATATTTTAAATATATACTTAACAATTTTTTCACTGCAGTGTTACATGGAATTTTTCCATTTTCAATTTAAAAATTTATTAATTCATTTATATTTTACTTGATATTTTGTATTATAATTTTTTTAATATTCTCATAGTAATTTTTATTTTTTTTAGAATAAAGACTATAAAAATACAGTAATTTTAATAAGATATAAAATTCCTGTTATATATGTTAATCAGATAAAATAAAAATATATATATTAAAATTATACACAAGTAACAACTATATCGCTTCCCGTTTTGTTGGTGTTGATGGAGCTGCGATAATAATTAAATACAAATTACTCGCTTCTAAGTGACCGTTTAAGTCAATAATCGGTTTTAATGTAAAGCCGCTCCACTTGTCAGCAAAAGTGAAATGAAAGCTAATTGCGTCACTTGAACGCATGCTTCATGTCATTAACAGTAAACACTTACAAATCTATTTATAAATATATTAAAATGGTTCTTAAAATAATAATTAACACTTTTTATTTATTTAATCATTCATGACTAAAATTTCTTTACTCGTACGTATTTCCATATTATGTAAGCAAAATAAAAGTACTAAACGTGATAGAAGAACACCACATATAATAATAACAATAAATTCCCTATGTCTTTTGGCCATAGTTTATAATTAGATGGTGATTTCTTTGTAAGCTAATGAAGTCTCCACTAGAAGCTCCAAGTTACTACGGTTGGAAGGGAGATTCAACTATATTGTAATCTCTACCTTAATCATTCTCTTCACCATGATAAGTGAATCATCCTAATCCATATCCTCACTCCTGCATGAATCATCCATTAATCATGGTTTTCATAAAACACAGCTCAAAAACACCAATCAATGGCGATCCACCGAAGAAAAAAAACTTACATATTATAGACCCATTTTAACAAGGAGGATAGCATCATTGTTATTACACCCATCTTAAAAATTGAACAATAATAAAATAAAGTTAAATAATTTTATTTTTATTCATTTCAAAAGTATAAAATTAATCTTAATGCATGTATTACGATATAAAATATTTTTTATTAAAGTAAGAAAAGCATCATAATGATAATTATTGAATGGTGTAAGAATTGTTTTCACTAATATGTATTTCTTTCTTTATAATTTTGTCATCAACAAAATTTCTAATGATACTTGTAATGCTTTTGTAATCACGCAACAATTATATCTATATAAAATCATTTAAGTAGCTATAATTCATATTCCTTTCACACGTACGGTTGACGGAGTCTTCAAATAATGTTAAAAGAAGTCCCGAATCATAATCAATTTCGTTGAAAATAGACCATGACCAAGTTAATACGTCTGTTCTAAATTTAGCTTTAGTTTTTCCATGACTCAGCATCAAGGTCATGATGATTTGTTTCCTTTTTAGACAAAAATCAAAATCAGGAAGATAACATATTAATCATTGTACTGATGGTCCTATATTATCAAGTCACTGTGCGTACCGTATACACGACTACAAAATTGATTATGTTAAAATTTATAATTAAGATCATACCAACAGAATTTATAAAAGCTCAAATACTATACACCCATCTAATGTTACTGGAAACTTATATTGTTGGAAAATGCTTTTCTCACACCTGAGATGCTAGAAAGATAGATAGAAAGTGCATAATAACGATTTTATAATTAACTGGTTTTTAAATTGACTGTTTTAAAAGAAGAAGAATGTGATGCAAAAAGAAAAAAGAATAAAAAAGGAAATTATTATTATTATTAGTATTATATATAAAGAGTGAAAAATTAAAGCTTGTTAATTTAAATTATACACTAAATATAGTACAACTGAGTGACCATCACATTTTCAATAAATAAATCTAGTTCTTTAATTCTTTGAATTATCTTTCCGAACTTGGCTTCTATATAGTTGCTATGTTAACATGCTTTGGCACATAATACATATCTTAACAAGTTTAATACGTCACGCAGTAGGAGATTACATCTAAATAATCTAACTTATCGTTACACATTGAAGGAAAAGAAGCATTGCTCCAACATCTTTATAACTTAAAAGACTATACAACAAATTAAGCATTTGTATGCATATCAGTCTTTTAAACATTTAAGATAAAAGTGTTTCCCTCTCTGCATGTGTCTTAAACAATGATGATGCCGTTCTTATTGCTTCCTCTTTTGTGTAATCAGTGACCCCTAAAGCAATATAGTTACATATATATACATATATATGCAATATCTTCTGAAAATAGTTGCTATTAAAAATATGTTACTTTCCCAAATGTGTCAGTGTAACATAGATCAATTGCTGTTGCCAACCTTGCAGCTCTAATGGTTTGCTCAAGTTCAATGCATTAGCTGGCAGCAGGCTCGAGAAGTAACTACATTCAAAATCCAGAATAATTTCATTTGCCAACCCAACTCTTATATTTTTCTATCCATTTTATTTTTTTCATTTATTTTTATAATATCGCCAATCATATTTTTTCTTTTTTCTTTTTTTCATCGATCTATTTTCCCTCCGGTCAGTCTACACAAGAAAGTGTAAACATATAATTTTCATACCAACCACTAAGTGAGACACACACACACAAATAGTAGGCACGGGATATTAGTATTGCCATATTAACCCAATATTAGTGTGAAATGAATTGATTCTTATCAAAAAACAAAAAACGTAGAAGAAGAAACTTATGAATCTAGTATTGGGTCGGTCATGCTCTCATGGCTATGTTTAGGGTCAAGAACAAATAATGATATGAGAATATTTGGCTGTACACCAAACCCACAAGAGATCTAGGCGTGTTGACACCACTAAATGGATAACTTTACAGCATTATATAATATTAACATTCCTATATATATATATAATGAGAATAATTCTTATCTATACAAATAATAAGAATGAAAATTAGTCTATAATCACATGACAATTAAAAGAAATTATATATGTTTCTTTTATTTACATCGAATCACTTTCTAAGAAACATTCATTTATTAAGAAACAAAAAATATCAAAGGTCCCGTAACATTTGTTAGTATGATATATAATATTGTTGGTATAAATTCATAATAGTTATAGTAAGAATTTAATTTTTATTAAACAATAATTTTTTAACTTGTACAACATTGCAAAAACAATAAATTATATATAATAATTTTTATTAAAAGTTAAAATTTTGATAAGAATTTATTATATATACCTTTTATCATATGGAACGTTTTAATTACGAGTTAGTAAATATACTAAAAATGTATAATCTAACAATAATTATTAGTAAATATTATTTTTATACTGTCTATTATCTTCACTATTTGTGTCAATTTTTTTAAAAATAAATAAAAATAAAAATACAATTAAATGATTCTTAATTTATAATGATAGGTTTTAAAATAAATTTATCTAATGATAAAATTATTAAATGATATATAAGTACATGCAACTTAATTATATTCTTACGATGATGGTGAATATTTCCCAAACATAAATATGAATTTAAATTAAAGGGTGTGACAACAATTGCGATTTAAGGAGAAAAGGGTTGCAATAATTTTGAGAATATTCTTGAGCTGAGGACAACGCATAACAGAATACAAAAATCCATCACTTCACAGCCTATATCTTCCTACTAATAGTACCATACTAACTGAAGAATAATGTTACTAATAAATAAACATGATTCTGACTAATTTCTTGT